GACGGTAATCCGTAATCAAGACGGTAATCTGTAACAGTGGCGGTAATCCGTAAAATGTTCGGTTAATAATACGAGACACTGTGAATGTTAATATTATTTCACGTTTGCTCATAAGAATTATAACAATTCGTAGGAAAACCTTCTCCAACACGGTTGGCCGTAAGATACACGGTAAACCGTTGCAGTCAAGATAAATTGTAAAATTTACAGTTTACCCTCTAATTTTTAAAATTTATCTCTGTTTCTTTCATATTTTTCTATAAAGTAAACAATCCGTCGTAACAAAGACGGTAATCCGTAATCTTTCCGAGAATTTGTAACAATGACGGTAATCCGAATAAATATTTTAATCCGCAAAATTTATGTCTAACAGTATCAAAAACTTTCATGTTTATCTGCAAGATAAACAACAATTCGTAATAAAGACGATAAACCGTAATCTATATGTGAATCCATAACAACAACGGTAATCCGTAATGAAGATGGTAATCCGCAAAATTATGCCAAACAAACAAAAGCATCGTGTTCATTCGAAAGATAAACAATAATGAAAGAGAATATAAAAAAGAACGGTAATCCGTAAGATGCACAGTAATCCGTAACGAAGGCGGTAATTAGTCAAATGTATGGTTAACAATAGGAGACACTGTGATTGTTAATATTCATGTTTGCTAATAAGAATTATAACAATTTGTAAGAAAACGTAGGAAAACCTTATTTAATACGGCAATCCGTGAGATACACGGTAATCCGTATCAGTCAGGATGAATTGTAAAATGTACCGTTTACCCTGGGGTAAACGGTACATTTTACAATTTATCCCTGTTTCTTTCATATTTTTCTATAAAGTAAACAATTTGTAACAAAGACGGTAATCCGTAATCTTGGAAATTCTCGGAAATTCGTAACAATGACAGTAATCCGAATAAAGATTGTAATCAAAACAGTACCAAAAACGTTTACGTTTATCTTTAAAATAAACAACAATTCGTAATAAAAACGGTAAACCGTAATCTATATATGTGAATCCATAACAACAACGGTAATCCGTAATGAAGATGGTAATCCACAAAATGTGAAGGTCAGTTTACAATGCAAGTCTGCAACTATATCAAAACTGCACAGTCTGCAATATACAAAACTAAAGTGACACATTATTACTATCAGTGACATTATCATTGTTTCACTGACTTGCAGCAATTGATCATTGACGTCGTTGTCGTCATCTTTCTTTTGCCACCAAAGTTGTTATCTTCCGTCCTTGCCGTCTGAATTATTTTGTCAAGCGTGATATAAAATGTCCCTCCATCAGATCTTGTTACACCTGTTCAAGTTAATATTTCAATGACGCAAATTAATTTTTTTTTGAAGTCAAAGACTTGACGTTATTTTGAACAAAAAACTCAAAACTCTTTAGAGTTTTGATAAATAAATTTCTTATTTTGATAAATATAGTTTGTTAAAAAGAAATTGTTTTTAACAATAAAACAATTTGCAGCGATGCCTTCCCTCAGAAAAATTAAACTAGGGTGATAACTTTTATCAGACTAATCAATCAATTGTTTTCGTTCGTAATTAAATCAGTAGGCCAGAGAAAGAGGTCTTAGGAGTTAGTAGGGGTTTTAAAAAAAATTTTTTCGATAGTAATACAATTACATAAATTGTTAAGTGGAGTAAGTGGTCGTGACGTTAAAGTGAGGGAAACATAACGATTTGACTGAAAAGATCGCCTCCAATACTCTCCATCTCCTTCCGCTCTGTTGATATAATAACATTTCAACAAAAAAAAAAGAAAAAAAAGAAGGAAAAAAGTGAAAGATGATCCTCATTTTGTTGTTTGTTGGCCGGATCTCAAGATCCTTTGAATTCATTGACGTTGAATGAGAAGTCCTGAAGAGGTTTACCTTTCGATTTCCTTCGTAGTCTCATAATCCTATAGGTCCACATGATCGTGAGAAATAACCAGACACACGCTATATATACAAACATATATATATATATACGAGACCAGTTTTCTTCGAGATACATATATTCAATGCAACTATATATATAAGAATGTTTCTTTAATGCCAGGATGACAAATAACGCATATTTAGCAATATTTATGCGAGCGGATCACGTCGGCTTTTACTCGTACCTCACGGATTATCTTGTTCTTAAGAGAGCTACTGACTGTGACTACCTGTCCATTCGTTTTGTCGCGTTTCTTCGCGTGTCTCTCCAATTCCCTCCACGGAACATTAGATTCCTTCATTGAACTGAAAAACTTCCACTCGACAATTAACTTAATTCCCTTTGGAAAATTATCCTTTGGTTATGTATATGAAAATTTTTTTTATATATATATATGTGTAGGTATGTTTACTATGCGGTGATGGTAAAAAGGAAGTAGTTTTTTGTCCAGAAACAGATGGACCGCAAACTTTCCGAGTAATGGCGTCAGTAAACTTGAAAAAAGTGGATATATAACCATACTCAAAAGTAAACTCTACAATTAGAAATGTCTGTCATGAAATGCTTCTTGTTATTTCTAGCGGAAAATCCCATTAATAATGAAGACTCAAAAAAACCTTGTTCTGTGGATTTTTCTATGTTTCATTTTTCTACTTTATTTTTGCTTCAAATATGCTTGAGAGAATATACTTTTTTTTTCTCATAAACCTCATCCGTGTGGAATGTAAATAATTACGGGTTAACTGAAAAACATTGTAATTACATATTTCCGAAAATGTAAATAAATTTAAACAAAATTGAAGACTAATGAATGACATGAATTGCAATCCTTCAAAATTATTTATTTGATAGATAATATAACAAATTAATTTGCTTATGCACCGCAAAAATTAAATAAAAATATTTATTATCATTACACGAGGCCACTAGGTTGAGTGTCAATCAATAAATAAATTTTTGAAATAAACTAATTGATAATATACGAAGACAACCAAGCTAAATATGATTAATTTTTGTATTTATCTCAAAATTAAATTAAATTAAATTTTTGGTTACACTGTGGCTTGGCAAAAATAAAGAAAAACAGAATACTAAAAATCAAATCACAAAATTATTGTTGAGCGTCAGACTGAGTCAAATTACAAAAGAAAATTAATTATAAAAATAAAGAAAAATATGTAACGACTTTAAATTTTTTTGCAAATGAGTAAAAATTTCAATACCATTACTGAGTTAATATTAATATGTATTTTAGGTTATGTTGAAGAAAAATATTAACAAAAACATATTTATTTTTCATATTTGATTTCACTTGTCACTTCGGAATTAATGATTCATCACTCCAATGTCAGATAATTTTGGATTAGAATTGCTGTATATTTTTGTCGCTATGAAAAAGATGAAAAGCACAACATGCATAATGACCATAGAGTAAAGAAAATTCACTAGAGCGAAAACTCACAATTAAAAATAAACATCTGTTTATCAGGGTTGGGTAGCAAAAATCGAATAATGAATACTGTATAATATTCTGTACAGTCAAATGCATGTATATGCTGTCCTTCTGATTTGACCGTATTTTCACTGCGATCGCGATCAAAAAAAGAAAACAAAATTTATTTTACAAAAATAAGAACAATTTTTCTAATTTCACATATTTTATCGGTATTTGTCAAAAGAAATATATCTCTCTAGTCTTAACTAACATTATTACTTAAAAATTCCGCGAGTCTTTGAAAAATGTTTTTTGACGCAACAAACAGGAAGAGGTTAAGATTGTTGACTGCGCGCAAAACACTCGGAATCAAGCCTTGCGGCTAACTTGGAATGTTGTTCGCGTATATAGAATGAATTTTCAAGAGAAATAATAAAGTGAACCGACATGAGACGTTGACGAAGAGCGTAGGAAGATAGGATAAAAATTTCAGGGCAAAGTATCAAATTATATCCCGGTCAACAATGTCGCACAATATGTTCAAGTATAAAACGTATATACACATATATATATATAGGTGTTCACAAATGCTCGTTAAGAAACGTGTGGGTGTTGAACGTAGGTATCTATGTTTCTACACATGTTTTTTGATCCCTTTTTTTCCGTTTGTTTTATTCTTTTTTCCAAGAGAGGGCTAAAAAGCGATTTATATACTGCTACGGAAGTGAGATACTCTTTTTAACACCCTTTATTGCTCTGCCTGCTGGGCAGGACGACTTCATTCAATCCAAACCGTATGCTAATTTTACGATTAAGATCTGGATAATTAGTATAATTAGGCATCTCATAACAGTTTTATTATGCAAATTGATACTTCTCATTATAATCCAAAGCATCGTATTTAATCACAGAATTTCTTTTTTTTTTTTGTCTCTTTTGGGACATCTTTTCTTGATCTAATCGCGTACACTATTTTTGTTCTTTGATTGATTATTATCAGGACTGTAAACTTTTTTTTATTGTAAAAGTAAATTCTAAATAAATTGTGTAAATTGAAAATTCCAAGTGTATTTTATGCCATTTGTGACCCATTTAATTAAATACTAATTTTTATAATATGAAAACGTTAAATCGATCATCTCGGGTTCTTTTTCGTGTTTACGCCACAGGACGCTTAACTCCATGCAATTTATCATTCGCCTTGAAAGACGTTGATCAAGAAAAAAAAGAAGGAAATAAATCTAATCGAGAGGTTAAAACCTGCCCCCGAACCAGTCCCTTACAGGCTATGAATCGTCAGTGAAGGCAAGCGGAATAAAAAAGGGGTTTTTTTTAATGTCGCACTTAAAAAACAACAACAAAATACAAAGTTGTGGGGTTACCTTAAATTCTCGGTAATTTGTAAAGGTTTGTCTACAATTGTGCCATGTTGGTAATGGAAATTAACAACATTGCACAATTAATCAGTTGTGGGAATACCTTTAATTCTCGGTAATTTGTAAAGGTTTGTCTACAATAATTCTCGGTAATTTTGAAAGCTCTGTCCACAATGGGACATAGAAATCGGTGCGAATGGAACAATTTGTAATTAAAAATAAAAAAAGCAACTAACCTACAACTACAACGTGGCCAAAAACTTGATCACTGACGACGTGAGAACAATTCCAACGATGATGTCTAAATTGATGTCGACACTCACGAAGACCGAGTTCGGCACCCTCGCCAATGGCTGGCATTACGTACGGCGCCTTTTTGCACAGCTCCCGCTGATTTTTACCCAATCCGGGAATCCGTCCACAAACTGCCGCACCAACCATAAAAGCTCCGACCACCCTGAAACAAGAAATTAAATTAATTTATAAATCTGGTATTCCCCTTCTCATTCACACACACTTTTTAATTTTTTTTTCATCAACTACCCAACCCTGCTGAAAGATTTTTTTTTAATTTTTGAAGGGTTGGACAGTTAAAAAAAATTGACGCATTTGGCCAAGTGGCAAATATGGCAACTTACGAGTGGACAGAAAATTTTTTTTTTTGGTGACTTAAGGAGGAGTCATGAGGATTTATTAAATGTTATCAGAGAGAGAGAAAAAAAAATGATAGAACTAGATTGTAGGTTTCTGATTGCCAAGTTTAGACAGTTGTTTGTCATTTTTTCATGAAGGGTCAAAAAAAAATGATTTAGGTTTTTTAAAGGTTCGTTTCTGCTATAAAGAAAGGATTTATGATCCGCTAATAGGCAGTTGTGAATATTGCGCTCAGGCGAATCCAGACGAGACTTACGCATGTTACGAATTCGTTTGGCGCCACACACTATATATACACTGTTCCAAATATATATTCTCTTATGTATATTTTTTAAAGTGTTGGGTCCCAAATATTAAAAGTGTTACCATATGCTCTCGTTAGTAATTTCCACACATTGTATACGCAAATTTATTGCATAAATGCATAAAGTGGGTAATTTTTAATACTAAATTTCTTGTAAGAGAATTGGGAGATATTTTTTTTTTTTGTGTGTGTGAAGAAGAGAGGTGTTATCGACTCTTGAGGCTAATTAGCAGTAATTGAACTGGGGAATAGCTGGTATTAAACGAACCTTTAACGTCATGTCTTGTACTTACATCTTATCTTTCTTGTCATGAAGGACGACCTATTCGCCTCGACATACAAATTACTCTCACGTCCCTAAGGCGACGAGCTTCAGTCAAGACTGATTTATACGCTGACCAATCAGTGCCATTAAACGTCTCAGTCATTCAATTAGTGTTATCATAATTAGTTTTCATTTCAATATATGTTTATATGAATTTAAAGAGTACTCTTACATGCCTTCTTCTTCAGATTGGATATTTCGAGCGGTATATATTATTAAAAGGGAAATTAATATTGTCCTGATGATAAATGATCTGGGTGGTCATTCATCATGTAACTACTTTTTGGGTTTTAAAACCCTCTTATTTTGTTGACATTTTTTCCTAATGTTCAATTAAGGTGTTTCTACAATAGCTTACAAATGTCCTAGTGGCATGTGGACTAACCAAAAAATTCCATTAGTTAGAAAAGGATAGACATTACTAAGTTTATTTAGTTGATCCACTTGCCACCAGGACCCTAATCGGATCAAAATAAATTATTTTATCTAAGAATTCGAAAAAATAATTGTGATCTTGAAAATTAATTTTTTGAGATTGTTTTTTCAATATACAGCAACACTCACACTTATGTATATTCGCAATGTGAAAACGAGTGACCGGTTACAAAAGGCGTGAAAAACATACGTTGAACTCCCTTTAATTATAGCTTGGCAATGACGCCACTCGTTATTCTAATTAGACACGCTTAGCTAAACCATTACGGCGCCCGGAGCACATCGCACTCAAGGAGGTCGTCCCAATAGGTGAGCAATTATTCGTTTGTTTTATATATACCGTGCGTCGAGTAATTGCGCGAATTTCAATGTAACCTGATTGGTGCTCACAATTTGCGTAGGCGTTATACATGTGAACAAAAACACATAGAGTGGAAACTTGGAGTTAATTTTTTTTCTCTCTTTTCTCCTCTTATTGCTAATAAATATCTAATACTTTTTTTTTCTTTGTACTCTTCTCTATAACGTATGCTTCGCGTTTGAGAACGAATATTCTGAATGTATTGTACATTGGCCTTAAAGTATTCATATCAGTGGTGGGGGAAGTATTTTTTTTACATTTTATTTATTATTTATTTTTTTACAGCTTATATGCTGTCCTTCCGGTTATATACGAGAAGAAATATATCGACAAACTGGCACTATCCTATGGAAATTAGTACGGAAATCCTATACGGTCAAAAATATGTGAAATTAGAAAAATTGTTCTTATTTTTGTAAAATAAATTTTGTTTTCTATCTCTGATCGCGATCGTCGTGAAGACCAACGTCAAATCAGGACAGAATACATACATTTGACTGTACAGAATATTATACAGTATTCATTATTCGATTTTTGCTACCCAACCCTGATAAACAGATGTTTATTTTTAATTGTGAGTTTTCGCTCTAGTGAATTTTCTTTACTCTATGGTCATTATGCACGTTGTGCTTTTTATCTTTTTCATAGCGACAAAAATATGCAGCAATTCTATAATCTAAAATTATCTGACATTGAAGTGACGAATCATTAATTCAGAAGTGACAAGTGAAATTAAATATGAAAAGAAAGTAAGTGTTTGTTATTATTTTTCTCCAAATATTAAGAAATTAATTAAAATGCTTAGTTATATAGACCCAAACGCATAAATTCTGTTCTTCCGCTATGACGGAATTTTGAAAAGTCGCGTCATTTCTGTCAAAAGTGTTTTTACTTTTTGTTTATTAAAAAAAATTTACTTTTAAAGAATCGAGAAATTAAACTTTTTTGTAAATGGTAAAAATTACATGAAAACTTGTATATTGTACAATAAAAAAAAACAGACAAAATTCAACATAACCTAAAATATATATATCAATATTAACCCAGTAATAGTATTGAAATTTTTACTTATTTGTAAAAAGAAACTGTTCGATTTGAGTTTGTTGATGAAATTGAAAATCGTTTCTAAAGTGACAACTAAGTAACGAAGATTCGTCTTTCATTCATTCTTTTGTCGCAAACCTCCGAAGAAACTAGTTTATTTGTAATTTAGCTAAATTTCAATTTTATAATTTTGTGTTTAATTTAGTGAATTATTCCTTTTTCATAATTGTGTGCTGTGTATTTAATTGTGGTAAGAGGATATATTTTATTGAAATTTAGGAAAGATTTATTTAATTTCTATTTTGGTAAATTTTGTTCATGTAATTTTTGTATCCATCTTTGATTCAGATTTCAATATTGATTTTCTTTACTGAATTTTTATTATTTGTTTTGGTAATTTAAATATTGTGACATGTTTAAATTATGAATATTTTATAATTTCCCAATTGTGTGATATTTTCCCCTATTATGTTCTGACAAATTCCCTGAATTGTTAATGATAATTTGGGAATTTTCTTGAATATTCCATTTTGTGAATCTTCACTAATATTGTTTTGATCCATCCTAAATTGATGAATATTTGTGTGATATTTTTGTGACATTTTCTTTATTCCCTTTTTGGTATATTTTGTGAATAATCTTGAAATTCCGTGACAAATGAATATTTAAACTATTATTTTGATTAATGTCAATTTTCGACTGATTGTATACGAATTTTGTAACTTAAAGATATTTAATTAAAATTCTAATCGATTTATATGAATTTTCTAATTTAATTAATTTTGATTTTAGGCAATTAGTTTAATTAATTGAAATATTTCAGTCTTTATTGCTAACAACCTTCCCTCTCTACCGTTTAGTTCATTGAGTAGCCGAATAACTTTAAAGTCGTTGCATATTTTTCTTTACTTTTATAATTTTCTTTTGTAATTTGACTCAGTCTGGCGCTCAACAATAATTTTGTGATTTTTAGTATTTTATTTTTCTTTATTTTTGCAACGTCATTGTAGCCTAAAATTTATTTATTGTGGTTATTTTTAATTATTTATTTAATTCATTGAATTTAATTTTGAGATAAATACAAAAATTGATTTTATTTAGCTTGGTAGCCTTGTTTATTATCAATTAATTTATCTTAAAAATTTATTTATTTATTGACACTTAGCCTGGTGGCCTAGTGTGTTGATAAGGTTGATAATAAATATTTATTTACTTTTTGAGGTTATATTTTTGTGATACATAGCCAAATTAATTTTTTATATTATCTTCTTTTTCTTATATATGACTTTAGGCTAGGCCAACTGTCAGAACTTATCAAATAAATAATGTTAGGGGGTTACAATTCATATGTATCATGAACTAAAAACATTATTTTGATAGAAATGACACTACTTTTTATGACCGAAACGAAGAAAATGAATTGACAAAAAGTTTCTTTTCCATAAACTTCTTTTTAATAGATTGTCACAAACTTGAGAGTGTGAAGTATAAAACATGTACAGTTCTTAATAGGTAAAAATTATAATTAATATAATTTTATTGAGTAGTATTTTTTTCTCCATCATTCTTTTTTCTGTGTCCGGTAAATGGAAACCAATATTAACCGCAAAGTGTGCAACAATTTTAGTAGCAAAAGAAAAGGAGGCGTTTTAACTCGTAAAACAGCGCCTCCGTAGTAGCTCATCGAGGTTATATTAAGGTATTGCAAAAAAGTGCTTCAATTTCAGTGTGCCCAATAATTTTACATGATTCCTCGAATATCTCTCTCTCTCTCCCCCCTTTCTTTCATATATACTTTTTGTTTGATACCTGTATAATGCCTGTAATTTTCGTTATTGTTAAGACCGGGGGAAAAAAATCTCTTCTTCTGTGTCTAATGAATAATTACGAAAACTTGCGTCAGATGGAGGTATAGGGACAGGAAAGTACTTTGTGCAAAACTGACTCAATTTTAAAGTCGCACATTAAAAGCCCTAACATTATATGAATATATACAATATCGAGTTTAAAATAAAATGATATGATCGATTTCTTTGTAATCTGGGTGGGCTTTTTCCGCACAATAAAAGTCTTTCAGCAAAACTCCCTGGTGGTCTCTCTCTCTCTCTCTCTCTCTCTCTCTCTCTCTCTCTCTCTCTCTCTCTCTCTCTCTCTCTCTCTCTCTCTCTTTCTTTCCATACCTGACTTGCTCACTCGCAAATAGTGTTATTAGTTGCCATATGAAAAAGGCATAATGTTAAGCATTACTCACTAATGACCGTGTGTAATGTTACTTTGAATGCAGACATAAATTCGTTGTTGCAAGCCACCTGGAATCCGATTTATAACGCATAT